CACAATACAGCGGTCACCGAGGGAGAGCACTGTTTCGCACTGTGATAGAAAAAAAGTAAAACAGATGCACATGAAAGTCCTGTGCGGTTCCCCGAGCTACATTACAGTGTTTTCTTACTCGCTCCAGATGCCGAGTCTTGTCGTGCTTGGGTTGTCGTCTCCAGAGAAGAACTCTTGTCTCTGCCCACAGAGACTCCCTGTGGTCATTCACTCCTTGTGAAAGCCACCTACCTGGACACTCGGAACAAGCATGCATCGCCTCCCAAGAAACCTCCAGGTGGCCCCGCCCTGGATAGCCCAGGCAAGTCCAATCTTGTCAGATCTCAGAAGCTGAGCAAGTACTTGGAAGGGAGACCTCCAAGGAATACCAGGGCAAGGACACAGAGGCAGGCAATAGCAAGCCACATCTCTGAAATGTCCTAGCCCCACTAGGGGTTGCCAGACGTCAACCATGACTTCCAGGCACATACACAGACACAAAAGAAGCCTCCAGCTTTACCTCTGGTTATCAGACAAAGAAAGCTTTAACTCTCGAAAGCTCATTAACACCCCCCACCCCAAATCTTGTTGGTCTCTAAGGTGCTACTAGGAGCTGCGGTGGCTCAAGTGGTTAAGATGCTGAACTGCAGGCTGTGGAAGGTCCGTAGTTCAGCAGTTCGAGACCCGGGTGCCGCGTGACGGAGTGAGCTCCCGTCTCTAGTTCCAGCTCCTGCCAACCTAGCACTTCGAAAGCAAGAGATTGCAAGTAGATAAATAGGTACCACTTCGGTAGGAAGGTAACAGCGTTCCGTGCGCCTTGGTGTTTAGTCATGCCGGCCACATGACCACGGAAACGTCTTCGGACAGCGCTGGCTCTTCGGCTTTGAAACGGAGATGAGCACCGCAACCCTAGAGTCGGACTCGACTGGCTTTCGAGCAAGGGAACCTTTACCTTTACTTTAAGGTGCTACTGGACCCAAATCAAGCTTTTCTACCGTTGACCAGCATGGCTTCCCACTGAAACTATGTTCATGGAAGGCACAACATTCAGCCGCATGAAGTGGAAATCCATCAGGTGCTTGATGGAAGGGAGCTTTGACGCTTGAAAGCTACAGCCCAAAAATCTTGTCGGTCTCTTAAGGTGCTAGTGGATTCAAATCTAGATGCTTGGGTGAATGCCACAGAAAGACACAAGAGTCTATGAATCTCAGATGACACAGGAGGCCACACATTCACCCTCTAAGGTGTGGGGTCTTGTGAGCAAAAATTCTACTTTGTGAGCTTACTGGCATGAAAGTTGTGAGCGAGCGATTTGGCCGCTGCATAAATTAGTTTGCTGTGGAGCCATCCTTCCTGAGCTAGGACAATAATCTGTGAGCTGGAGGCTAAAAAACCGTGAGCTAGCTCACACCAACTCAGCTTAGAGGGAACATTGGAGTCTCATGAAACTCAGATGTTATCAACTGTCTCTCTGCTTTCTCTGTCTGTTGCACTCTGATGGGTGAGGCGGGGGAAGAATAGGATCCTTTCCTCAAAAGGTGATTGGTTCTTCAGCATTCTGTGACAGAGACTTCCTCCTCCGAAGTTCAAGTGTTCAGGAATATTCCATGACATAACATCAGCTCAGCTAGAAGCAGGCAAGGTGGATGGCAGCTAGCTTTCAAGCTTTGTAAAATGGGTCCGATCTAGCATAGAATTTCTGCCTGTGCTAGACTCCTTGCGCAAAAGAAAATGCAAGAAATATGAACGTGGCTGCCACTTGCACCAAGTCAAACGTATTGTTTTCCCCACCAGCGTTTCCACTTGCGTAAGATCTTGAGCAACCAATTTCTGAGCACTGGGATATATAGGGAAGAAAGCACTAGATGCTGCACAAAAGCTTGTGTAAGTGGAACCACACTAACAGTGCAGTAATAAAAGCACTTCCCTGGGAGTAAACTCCATTGAGTAGACTTCAGTAGGATTCTCAGTAGACTTTCTAAGGATTACTCTGTAAGTCCATTTATGTTTCCATATTACTGGAACCAAACCAACATATATATACAGCCACATCCCCCCTAGACAACACACAGAGAGTAGCATAAATCAGCATTTTGGCACCAACCTCATGTGGCTAGCTTCACTTGGTCAGCACAATGCAGGAACCGCTGAACGTGCTCGGTGCAGTTCATCACAGAGGTCTGGTTTTCTTTAAGGCACTGTTCAAATGCAGCGAATGGTTCCATGCAGTCGTTGCGAATCTTCTGAATAATTGGGCTGTGGTGAAAACATAAGAAGAGGCCTGCTGGATCAGACCAGTGGTCCATCTAGGCCAGCATCCAGTCTGACATGGTGGCCAACCAGTTCCTCTGGACAGCCAACAACAGGGCCTAGAGGCTGAGGCCTACATAAGAAGAGGCCTGCTGGATCAGACCAGTGGTCCATCTAGTCCAGCATCCAGTCTGACACGGTGGCCAACCAGTTCCTCTGGACAGCCAACAACAGGGCCTAGAGGCTGAGGCCTACATAAGAGCCCTGCTTTGTGGCCAACAACAGGGCAGAGAGGCCAAGGTCTTCCCTTTCCCCTGATTCAGAGGATTAGGGCCTTGGAATGTGGAGGTTCTGCTCAGTCCCCATTGCTAATAGCCATTGATAGACTTCTCCTCCATGAATCTATTTAACCCCCTTTTAAAGTTGTTTATTCCCGTGACCATCACTCCATCCTCTGGCAGCAAATCTCACATTGTGATCACTCTCTGCGTGAAGCAGTATTTCCATTTGTCCGTCCTGAACCTACTGCCCCCAAACCACTATGCCCCTGATGGATGAGTGCGCAGAGGCATTATCTTCAAGAGGTCTGCATTTCACCATCACCACCCATTAAGTTTGCTAGCTAGCATCTTTCTCAAAGCACTAGAATCACAGCTGGAGGGGGGGGGAAAGGGGGTTCACCTCCATGGAGGAAAAATCCAAGTTCTCCTCCCCTGACACACATGGATTTTTGTTGTTGTTGTTCAGTCGCACAGTCGAGTCTGACTCTTTGTGACCCCATGGACAAGATCTCGCCAGGCCTTCCTGTTTTCCGCCGTCCTCTGAAGTTGGCTCAACTTCATGTTCGTTGCATCTATGACACTGTCCAACCATCTCATCCTTTGCCGTCCCCGTCTTCTGACCTTCAATCTTTCCCAGCATCAGGGTCTTCTCCAGGGAGTGCTCCCTTCTCATTGGATGGCCAAAGTATTTGAGCTTCAGTTTCATTATCTGGCCTTCCAGGGAACAGTCAGGGTTGATTTCTTTTAGGATTGACTGATTCGATCTTCTTGCAGTCCAAGGGACTCTCAAGAGTCTTCTCCAGCACCATAGTTCAAAAGAATCTATTCTTCGGCGCTCGGCCTTCCTTATAGTCCAACTCTCGCAGCCGATACACTTTCCTTATATAAAAGTATACCCACAGCAAAAATCAGTTTTCCCCAAACTAGTCAGGGCTTCTTCCTCCCTGGCCTTGCACAGCAAGAGACAGTGAGTCATAGTGGTTAGAGTGCAGGACAAGGTGCTGGGGGCACCCGAGTTCAAATCTCCACTCGGCCACGGAAGCTCTATGGGTGATTCCTGGCCTGTCCCCCTCAGCCTAACCCTACCTCACGGAGTTGTTATTGTAAAGATAAAACGGAGGAAAGGAGAACAACGTTGTAGGGAGATCGACAGACCTCCCTCTTCCCCCCCCCCCTTCTACTCTGTCCTATCTTTATTTTGTCCCTTCTTTTCCTGAACTTACCCTCCTCCTTCCTCTTCCTTTGTCTTGCCCCTTTTTCTCTAGGAAATATAGAAGTCCACAGAATGCATCAAGTCCAAAGTAGAAATTCAACACTTTTCCTAGGTAGTCTACAGTGTTTCAGACTTTTGGTCTACATAGTAGCAACCTTGAGAGGTGCACTTTCAAGCCTAGGAGACCTGGCCCATAAAGAAACTGAACAATATTGTCTTGTAAAGAAATTGGAATGAGACTTTCTATTGTGGCTCTTTGTTCCTGAGGAAGGACCAGAAGTCTGAAACACTGTAGACTACCTAGGAAAAGTGTTGGATATCTACTTTGGACTTGGAGCATTCTGTGGACTTCTATATTTCCTATGATGGATTTTATGTATAGATGTATTGCTGATTACATATGTGTTTCACTTTGCTGAAGTCTCTTTTTGTACATTGACTATTGTGGGTATTTCAGCACACAGTTGTTTGGCTGTTACTTGCCATTTTGTATTGTGTGATGCATTGTTTGGCTACTTTTTCTCTAGGGCTGCTTTCCCATTCATCGCTGGGCCACGAGTCTCTCCCGCGCCTGCTGCCTCCCCAGCTGCCTGCCTGTGACGGATTTGCTGGGGCGCCACCTGACATAATGTTAGGACCCTCAGCAACAATGGAAGCACACACTTGCAAGAAGGTTTTGCTTTATTGAAGCTGGAGATGCATGGACAGGAACACTGTTAGGAATGAGGGGTGAACTATGCGCAAAACAGTTATAGTACATTCATATGAGCATTACCCAATTACTATGGTTTCCGCACACGCCCTTAGGCCTGGGAACTAACTGCCACCCAAAGCAAAACAGGTATGAGCTTCCCACGGCTCTGCCTGCCTAAAGCCAAAGCACTGATCTCAGCGACTCCTCCAGCGGCCTTGAGAGATACGCAGTGCAGTTTGCAGGAGAACGGCAATTAGCCATAGGGAAAGGTATGCGCATCTGTGCAAAGGAAGGTATGCGCATGCGCAAAGGAAAAAGAACATTTTGGCAGCTTGCTGACACATAGTAAATTGATTTGTTCAGTTTCTACTCTGTAATATGCGGGTTTTTTAAATGGGAATATGCTGGTGTTATTGCATTGACTGCTGGAAGCCACCCTGAGCCCTGCTTGGCGGGGATAGGAGCAGGATATAAGTTGAATGAATGAATGAATGAATGAATGAATAAGCCACTTCAGGTTCCCATTAAGGAGAAAGATGGGGTGTAAATCATATCACATAAATAAATAAAATGTTTTAAAAGCAAGGCTTTGGGCAGACTGATACGGTTTTCGGGGGAGAGGACTTACTGGGAAGATGAGCACTTGGCCATGTCGAGTTTGAGCTGGTGACAATCTTGCTGCCAGGAGGAAGGGTTGGCGGCCACACACTGGCCGTACTCCTCCATTTCTCTGCGACAGTATCGCGCCGTCACTTGCAGCGCCGCCTCCCTGTGGAAGGTGGAAACACAACGGCATTAGGGATGCCCGGCCGGCGCTGACAGGGATGTCAGGGAGAGGAGAATGTAAAGGAGCATGCGTGAGAGGCAGCATGGTGCGGTGGTTAAAGTGCCTGACTAGGATCTTGGGAGAGCCAGGTTCGAATCCCCACTGTGCCATGGAAGCTCATTAGGTAACCTCGGGCCCATCACACACTCGCCGCCTAACCTACTCTAGAGGGCTGTTGGGAGGATAAAACGGAGAAGAGGAGAATGACGTAAGCCGCTTTGGGTCCTCAATGGGGAGAAAGGTAGGCTATAAACAAACGGTGTGCGAGAGGCAGCATGCACAACATGCCTCTGTGCACACAGAAGCCCTGCACGTTATAAACCCTCACTGCACGAAGATCATATGCCCCAGCTGCTCATGGAGGTGAGACATCTCTACTAGCACCCTCACAGTGCGTCCTAAGTAAAGTTACACTTTTCTGACATCAGTGGGCTTAGAAGGGTGCAACTCTGCTTAGGATGGCAATGGCAGCGCAGCAGCCATCAAAAGGCCGAAGCAGTGCAACGAAAAAAACGGTCTGATTAGTGGTGGAGGCACCTCTGTTCCAGAGGTGTGCTTGCAAAACTATGCATAACAGAAAGGGGGAAACTTCTCACTCCTCCTAAGCAGTAAGAACATAAGAGAAGCCAATGTTGGATCAGGGCAATGGCCCATCCAGTCGAACATTCTGTCACACGGTGGCCAAAAATACCAGGTGCCATCAGGAGGTCCAGCAGTGGGGCCAGGACACTACAAGCCCTCCCACTGTTTCTCCCCCCCTCCCACAAGCACCAAGAATACAGAGCATCACTTGCCCCAGACCGAGAGTTCCTATCTATACCTTGTGGCCAATAGCCACTGGTGGACTTCTGCTCCATATGCTTATCTAATTCCCTCTTGAAGCTCAACTCAGGAGTCACTCAATCAGATTGCTGGGCGGCTGAGAAAGAACAGACTAAACGCACAAACCGTAACTTAGGGCATGCATCGCCACAGAGTAAAGTAATGGACAGTGGCTTAAACGACAGAAGCACGCGATTCAACAAACTCTTGGAAGAGAGATCTATCCGCCACTATCAGCCCTGAGAAGCAAGCAGAATCTCCATATTCAGAGGCAGTACACCGAAAAATGGCAAGGATGTGTGGACAACCAACAAGGGAGAGCTGCCCCCTGAATGCACTATTTATAAGCGTCTTTGGAGGACGACTGCTGGAGACAAGAAACTGGACTAGACGAATCCTGCTTTTGATCCAGCAGAGCTCTTTTTACGCAGAGCAGTTATCTACCAGGAAAGAGCCCAAACGGGAGAGAGACCCCCACCCCAATTTAGCAACCAGGTCAGACACTTAAAAGCCGGCACTTACATGGTGCGCCTATCACTTGGAAGAGGAACTCAGCCTCTTCCTTCCTTCTCCTTACAGCGCATGCTCCCCAGCGGCCGAGGGCGTCCTTCTGCGCATGCTTCTGACAAGCCGCCGATCGAGTATTCCACGACAGCCGAAAGAGCCTGTGCTCTGGCGCATGCGCACCGAAAGGACGACGTCGCCTCTTCCGAAGCGGCGCCCGAGAGCAAGAAGGGAAAGTGGGACGGGCGACAGGACGCGCGTGCGCAGCCAGGCCGCCACCGCCTGCCCCGGAAGCGGAAGCGGCGCGGGCCGGCTGTGGCGGCCGGGGGAGGGGGGCTCCCGGAAGCAGGATGGCGGCGGCAGCAGCCGGTGCCGGGCCGGTGCCGGGGGACGAGCTGGTGCAAGACGTGATCCCCTACCGGCGGCGGTCGCGGCTGCTGTGGGGTACGGTGCTGCCCTTCTGCCTGCTGTACCCGCTCTGGCTGTGGTTCTGGGGGCCGTGCGCCTGGGCCTGGGCTTGGGGCGGCCCCGCCGAGGTGCCCGAGGCCGCGCTGCTCTACCTCGCCGCCATCGCGGCCGTGCACCTGCTCACCGCCTTGGCCGGCCTGTGGAGCGTCAACGTCCACTGCTTCCTCTACTGCTGTTGGGTCAGTCGCGCGCCGGGGTCAGGGGGCGAAGGTCACGGGGCAGGCGGAGGGAGCGGTGGAGGGGGCTGGCCGCGGCCACGCGGATGGCGCCCGGGTCCGCTTCACTGACTCGGCGGCAGTCCCGGCCCCACAAGTGGGACCTCGAGCCCCCCGCCTGCCTTTATGGCAGGGGAGGGGCGCCTCTGGGTGCAGTGGAGCTTGCCAACGTGGTACATGCTGTCCGCTTCCTTCTTCCCCAAAGCTGCCTTAGGCAAGTCTCCAGAGAGGCAGTGCATAGGTTTTCTGAATGAATGAAAGCCAGAGCTGACCTTCCCCCATCGGAGAGGAGCAGGAAGTACTTCAGAACCATCCATCATTTTTGTACCTGCAGGGAGCACTTGCTGAGGAGCAGCTGCCTCCACCATAGGAAGATGTTTGGCCTGGAACCTCTCAGTATTTTATGGCTGCGCCAGCCGTTTTGTGATGCTGCCTGTGGGCTTGTTCTCAGAGCTACAAACGCACTCACGCCAGCTTAACAGACTTGGGGGAAACTGCTACTTCTAACTGGTAGCAGTCCTTGTTAGTCTGTGGGAGTAAAAGCAAGGAGGAGGTCTTAGGGTGCCCCCAAAAGCACATTTGTTGTGGCTTGAGCTTCTGTGGACAGCAGTGTGCTTCATAGGATGCAACTTGTGTCTTCTCCACACACAAAAACTATACCATGGTAAATATGTTGTGCAGCTCGCCCCCTGATGTGGAAGTCTTCTCATTATATGAAGAAGAAGAAGAGAGAAGAGATTGGATTTATACCCCGCCCTTCACTTGGAGTCTCAGAGTGGCTTACAATCTCCTTTCCCTTCCCCTCCCCACAACAGACACCCTGTGAGGTGGGTGGGGCTGAGAGAGCTCTGACACAAACTGCTCTTTTTCAAGGACAGCTGTGCCAGAGCTTGTGACTGACCCAAGGTCACATCAGCAGGTGCAAGTGGAGGAATGGGGAATCAAACCCGGTTCTCCCAGATTAGAGTCCGCACACTTAACCACTACACCAACCACTACACCAAATGGGGACTCTTTGTTCTGTGGTGAGGCAGATAAACTCTACCCTTGGTCAAGGGCCCTTTATTTCACTTCATAAATTGCGTTCGGGTGTTGGCAACAGCGGCTGAACCCTGATATAAATGAAGCCTTGCCTGTTTCGGCTGTTTGAGATGGCTGTACTCCCAGTCCCGTTACTTTGCCTATTAGATGTCTCATCCTCTTGGTTGCGGTGACTTACACAGCGCAGTCCGTCTTGAGTCTCTGTGAGAAAGGCATGTTTTAGGTAATTAAAATAAATAAGTAATGTGTGGGGAAGAGAGGTGGCTGAGAACTAGTGAAAAGTTCACGAGGGTGGTGAATCATGAAGGGATTAGTAGGACGAGAACCGTGACAGGGTGTGCCCGTGTTAGGCTTTGGTGATTGCTTAAAAAACCTTGCGTGGGTCCCCTTAGTGTACTTAGCTGTTCATGCTTCTGTCAGTGGAATTTCACATCGCCAAACAAGATTTGCATTTGTTGCCCTAGATGTGGGCTTTGGTTGTACGTGCTGTGATTATTGGATCTCTTATGGTGTTGTGAAACGGTCTCTCTTTTCAAAGTCTGTTGCTTATTCTGCAGTATTGCAGGCACCTAAAATGTGGGTACATCTTATCACAGAACATCACTGAGCTGTCTTGCATATGACAGCTTCCAACAAGAACATCACTTCTGCAAGTTGGGGGGGGGGGATATGGGTCGATGTGCATGTGCACGTTTGGGAAAAGTAACTGTGCTCACAGGAAAAAAGATACAAATCTGATAGATAAATAGAGGGATTAGTGAACGTTTTTTGGGAATTTGGCGGCCACCTAAAGCTTCTTGTAGGATCAATGTCTAGTAAAAACCAGAATGTCCAGTCAACCATATGATCTGCATCGGAGCATCAACAGGGAAATAAGGTCCCTGTAGGATACTGTTGCACATGATGTATCCCACAGTCTCCCAGTACACAATATCTGCCTTTTATTTTTTAAGCTTTCAGCTTCGGTACCCAGAAGGAATGGCATGTGTTTTACCAGCCAGAGGTGTTTGCACAAAAAAGGCCTCCATCTGTCTGTGCTGACCCCTTGACCTAAGTTTTTCTGTCATGGTAGAAAGGGGTGTCAAGTCACAGCTGACTTATAATGACCCCGGTGAGCTTTTCAAGGCAAGAGACGTTCAGAAGTGGTTTGTCATTGCCTGCCTCCACGTCACAACCCTGGTATTCCTTGGAGCTCTCCCATACCAAATACTAGCCAGGACTGACTCTGCTTAGCTTCTGAGATTGGGCTTGTTGTTGTTCAGTCGCACAGTCGTGTCCGACTCTTCGCGACCCCATGGACTAGATCACGCCAGGCCTTCCTGTCTTCCGCCATCCTCTGAAGTTTACTCAACTTCATGTTCGTTGCATCTATGACACTGTCTAACCATCTCATCCTTTGCCGTCCCTGTTTTCTTTGACCTTCAATCTTTCCCAGCATCAGGGTCTTCTCCAGTGAGTGCTCCCTTCTCATTTGGTGGCCAAAGTATTTGAGCGTCAGTTTCATTATCTGGCCTTCCAGGGAACAGTCAGGGTTGATTTCTTTTAGGATTGACTGATTTGATCTTCTTGCAGTCCAAGGGACTCTCAGGAGTCTTCTCCAGCACCATAGTTCAAAAGAATCTATTCTTCGGCGCTCGGCCTTCCTTATTGTACTACCCAGGGCTATTTCTGTCGTGTGAGGTATCAGGTAGGAAAACAGCTCAAATGAATATTTTGTTGCACTCCCCTCTTTTTTTCTCATTGGCACGAGTATGTTTTGGGAAGTTTCTTCTTCTCGTCACTTTCTTTTGGTGAACACTGTGAACTGAAATTGCATTCCTTGCTTGCTAACTAAATCCCCCACATTCTTTCCCTCCCCCACCCACCTTTTTAAAAAAAATCTCCCTGCAGTTTTTTAATTTGTGGGGAAATGCCAAGTTCGCAGTGCTTCCCAGGATAAAAATAAAACACGTAATTAGTCCATTCATTTATGTGGCTTCTCTGGTCTGAGATGGAGAGAAGCCCAGCTCTTTCCATTTCCCTGTTTACCGAAATTTCTCTACGTGGATTCTTGGAGGAGAACTTTACTTGCCAAAGGGGGCCAAGCGAGCAGCTGAAGTACTCTACTCGAGTGGCTAAAGCCGCGGAAGAAGCAACTCAAAGCATCCTTCTCTTCCCCGCTATTTCACTTCAAGAAACCAGTAGAGGGATAGGAAAACAGGCAGTTTGCCATACCTTGCATTTCTCCCCATTGGGGACCCGTAGCTTATGTCATTCTCATTTTCTCCATATTGTCCTCACAGCTCCCCCTTCCTGAGTTAGGTTAGGCTGTGGGAGAGAGCTCAAGGTCACTAGGCAAGTTCCATGGCAGAATGGGGATTTGAACCTGTGTCTCTGAGATCCTAGTCTGACACTCTAATCCCTCCCTACACCACCGGCTGAGGTGTCCCGTACCGAACTGTCACTGGCATGGTTTCATGAGCATTTAAAGTTTTGCCATTGGAGCCCGAAGAAGATCTTGTGGAGTTTGGATCTTCTTTTAGAAGCCTCGCCCTGACCTGGATAGCCCAGGCGAGCCAGATCTTGTCGGACTCGGAAGCTAAACAGAGTCAGCCATGGTCAGTATTTAGATGGGAGACCACCAAGGAAGTCCAGGGTCGTGACATGGAGGCAAGCAATGGCTAACCACCCCTGAATGTCTCTTGCCTTAAAAACCCAATAGGGTCACCGAAAGTCACCTGTGACTTGATGGGAGAAAAGAAGCCGCCTTTAACACTTATTTATTTTTATTTATTTGACGAAATTTAAATCCCCCTCAGGGGCCACCAAGGCAGCTTAAATTTCTTGTAGTTCTGGGACAGTGAAGAAACAGCCGTTATAAGAAGGGAGCTGAAGGTGGCAACCAGGCCCCATCACTTCAGTTCCATGGCAGACCTGGAGATAAAGTTCCCCAGTTCATCTGGCGATATTATGTTGATCTAGCTAATCAAATAAGATATGGGAAGGAAAGGATTACTAGGGCTAGCCTGATCTCATCAGATCTTGGAACCGAAGCAAGGCTAGTACTTGGATGGGAGATCTCCAAAGAATACTAGGGTCATGTGACATGGAGTTAGGCAACAGCAGACCACCTCTGAATGTCTCTTGCTTATGAGGTCACTGTAAGTCAGCTGTGACTTGACAGCACTTCCCACCACCACAATTAGGGGATTCAGCATCAGGCAATTTACGAGCGTGTGTCTTGTTGGGTATGTAAGTTTCAGTATAGCTGACTCACAGGCCGTGTAATGCTTCCCCCATTCCCATCTCCCACAAGAGCACCAGCTGCCCGACCTGCTCCCTCCTGGCACCCACAATTTCCCTCTGCTACATATCGCTCGGCTCATTGTAAACTTTAAAGACCACACTTTTCCAGTTGTGTGTGTCTCTCCTTTTCAGGTACGCAGTCCAAGGAAAGCCACATTGGCAAAAGTCGTGCCAATGCCAAACAACGGATCTGCAGAGCTGGTGCCACTCCACCGAGACCAGGTGAGCCAATGGCGATCGTTTGAAAGGGTGTGTGCCTCCCCCGCATGCAGTCCGAGTTTGACAACTTGGCCCTGGAGCTCCTCCAGGTGGTTAATAAGAAGCCACTAGTACAGATTTTGGGAGCAGAAGTAATGCTTTTTACTAGAGGCCGGATGAATGATTTCCACCCTTCCTCTACTCCCAGCCTTGCCTTTGCCCTGTTATGATTGGTGACTCTTTTCTGTCCAATTGGAAGCTGTCATCCATGCCTTTGTGAAAGTGAAGGTGCTGCACTGTGCTCAGTTTGGGGTTGCGCTAGAAGAAAGTTTGGAGGTTGCGACTTATTGCAGTGGCTTCCTTGACCTTCTGCATGCCTAGCAGGTGCTCTGCCACTGAGACACACAGCCCCCCCCCCCCAAGTTGCCCTGCGAGTTGAATGGCTGAAATTTGGGGACTGGTGAGATTCGCCTTTGAAAACCAACAGTTCCTGATGAGCTCTGTAAATGTCAGACCTCACTGGAGTTCATCTCCCCCACCCATTTATTAGATTTGTTCTGATAAGTGCTGACAGGTTCATGTAGGTGATTATCCACTTTCAGTGATGGATCTCCTGCTGGACCTCCTGATGGCATCTGGTATTTTTGGCCACTGTGTGACAGAATGTTGGACTGGGTGGGCCATTGGCCTGATCCAGCATAGGCTTCACTTATGTTGTTATGATCTTTCAGTGATGCTGACAGAATCCATCTAGGGATGCTGGCATGCATTGTAGCTGGCTTCCAACATGGTCTTTAGATTCCAGCACTGTGTTTCTAGGGTAACCAGGAAACAGAACCTAGAATAAAGGACAGGCTTGATTCTCAGACGGGAGATTCTGGCCTCACCTGTGTGTGACAACGGGAGCTTGGACTTTCAAGGTCAAAGAGCAATTGGACTCTGTAAAGCAGGAGTGGTCAAACTCATTTGTTACGAGGGCCGGATTTGACATAAATGAGACCTTGTCGGGCCGGGCCATGCATGTCATAAAATGTAACGCCAGGTAGCGGAGATACAGACTTTATAAAGGACACAAACACAAAGTTAGGTTTTCTTACTTAAAATAAAAACATGCTTAAAACATTAGCTCTGTCAGCTGCAAACCTACTTTTGATCTATTGACATTCACCACAGAAATCTCATGCTCAGAGTTCTGAGTCTAGGACCCAGGTTAAAACATGAAATGGCTGAGTGATTAAGAGAGTCTCACAAAGCAGGCTATGATGCAGCAGCAGAACTGGAAGCAGGAGATGGCCAGCTCCACTGTGGGCCTGATGGAAGCCCTCCGGGGGGGCCTGATCTGGCCCCTGGGCTGCATGTTTGACACCCCTGCTCTAAAGCTTATCCCATGAAAATCTTCTTGGTCTCTGCGGTGCTGCTGGAATCAATTCTAGCTGACCTGAAGCTAGCTGGTCTACTGCAGACCAACAGAGCCGCCTTCTGGAACTGGACTCAACAGAGGCAGAGGTCGGATTTTGCCCCACACCCCAGTGGCATCCCCAGGTGGTATCTCTTAAGAAGAAGAAGAGGAGGAGGAGGAGGAGATTGGATTTATACCCCGCCCTTCACTTGGAGTCTCAGAGCGGCTTACAAACTCCTTTCCCTTCCCCTCCCCACAACAGACACCCTGTGAGGTGGGTGGGGCTGAGAGAACTCTGACACAAACTGCTCTTTTTCAAGGACAGCTGTGCCAGAGCTTGCGACTGACCCAAGGTCACATCAGCAGGTGCAAGTGGAGGAGTGGGGAATCAAACCCGGTTCTCCTAGATTAGAGTCCGCACACTTAACCACTACACCAAACTGGCTCTTTAGTTTCTCCTGTATGAGTGAATGCTTGCGGTGTAAAAGTAAAGTAGAGCAGTGTGGATGGAATTCTAATGGGGTGAGGATGAAAGCGATCCTCTGTTCCTGGCACGCAGTGGTCCAAAATTCAGCAGAAGGTGAACACAGTGTATCTCAGTATTGCAGGCCTACAGAGACGCAGCATATCCTCCATAGGTCCTCATAGCATACGCGCCTTCCTTTTAATAAGGGACACGTTGCTTAAACGTTTTAAAAAGTTTCAAAGGTGGGATGGCTCTGCATTGGGGGAGTAGCCTTGCTGATGCGTACTAATTTGGGGGGGGGGGAAATAAAGATTGGGTGTTGTGTGTTAGAGGGCACGCAGTCTCCATAGTGGCTCATCAGGTAGGTTTTGATTGATTGCTGATGTTCATTTTGAGAAGACTTTTCCCCCCAAAATGAGATTGGCAGGTAATCTTGTGGTTTGTTGCTTCCTTTGAGGACTCGCTTCTTTGTGTGGTTGTTCGTCTGCAGGCACTGTACTATGGTGAGTTATAGGCAGTGTTCCCTCTAAACTGAGTTAGTGTGAGCTAGCTCACAGTTTTTTAGCCTCCAGTTCACAAATTTTTGTCTTAGCTCAGGAAGGGATGGCTCCAGAGCAAACTAATTTATGCAGTAGCCAAATCGTTCACTCACAACTTTAATGCTAGTAGCTCACAAAGTAGAATTTTTGCTCACAAGACTCCACAGCTTAGGGGGATCATTGGTTATAGGTGCTTATCGATGCCAAAGTTAATGGGAAGTAGGAAGCTGTTGGGCAGATCTGCCTTGCAACAAGCGGTTGGGACTACAGGCCCTTTAGTTCCTCCCAGTACAATGATTCAATGAGGTCTCTTAAGATTCTCCCTTGCAAGCGGAAACTTCACTTTCATACCCTTTCTTTTCTGCTAGGGAGAAGATGGGCAGGAAGTCCTTTCCTTTGAGTTTCAGAAAATAAAATATTTTTATGAGCTGAAAGAGAAGAAGAAGTTCCTCCCGGTGGCGTTCCCCGTGGAGCACCCCCTGCAGTATTACCAGAATGCACGCGGTTACCTGGAAGACAAAGAGATCCGAGTGGCGGAGAAGAAATACGGCACCAACAAGTGAGTGGGAGCCAAGACGGGCAGCGATATTGGGGAGAACCTGAACATGATGAGCTCTGCTGGATCGGGCCAGTCTTCTTCTTAGTCCAACATCCTGCTTCTAACAGACACCAATTAGATACCACAGGGAATCCCGCGAGCAGGGCCCACAGACAGCAGTCCCCACCTCCTGACTGTGTCTAACAGTCAGAGGCGTTCTGCAAATCTGGCAGGAATGAGAGGATCCAGTCTGTTTAAATGCATGTGTTCCGAGCTTACTAATACATTAGCGGCAGGGCTATTTTTGGGCAGAAACACACAGGAACGGAGTTCCGGCTGGCTCCCAAGTTGGCCACGCCCAGCAGGAACTCATTAGCATAATAGGCCACACCCAACAGCAGAAACTCATTAGGATTGGCTACATTAGGGGTGTGTGGCCTAACGTGCAAAGAAGTTCCTGCTCCAAAAAAAAAGCCCTGGGTTTTGACAACAAACAAGGTAAAGAGAATAAGAAGTAAAAGGTGGGTGTGGCTGGGTAACCACACTTCTGGTAACATGGGGGGGTGGCCTAATGTGCTAATGAGCGGTGCTGTCAGGGGTGTGGCCCAATATGCTAATGAGTTCCTGCTGTTGGGTGTGGCCTATTATGCTAATGAGTTCCTGCTGGGCTTTTTCTACAAAAAGAGCCCTGAAGCGGTGTTAGAAGTCTAGCGTGTTCATAACACAATACTGACTTAAGTGTTCTTTTGGTATGGGGTAGCAGGGAAGCCGTTGGCTAGACACAGAGCTTAGTGTCACTGTGTGTGTGTTTGGTGAGCCAGGACTCAGCCGAGATGGCGTGGATCTTTTGGGACCTCGATTGACCAATAAAAGGATAACGAAGGATAGGCCCGAGTTTATCAGAACTCGGGAGCTAAGCAGGATCAACTATGGTCAGTAGTTGGATGGGAGACCACCAAGGAAGTCCAGGGTTGCTACGCAGAGGCAGGCAATGGCAAACCCACCTCTACTCTTCTTATGCCTGCAACGCCTCGTGGAAGGGGTTGCTGTGAGTTTGCTGCAACTTGACGGTATGTTCCTCATGAAAGTGGGCTCATGCTTAATTTTGAAAACAAGAAGGTCTTGAGCTTGCCGTTGAAGTCATACTCTCACCTTGGAGTTGTCGCTCTCTTGCCTCGTGCATGCCCAGATCCACAGCACATGGTCGTGGGATGTGCGGCATGAGCCATGGGACTTTGCACATACTCAGAGGCACCAGGTTAGGTGCCTGATGAGACCCAGCCCAAATCAAGCCTTCTTTGAGGCATCTTCAGCATCTGGATTTTGTCACTGGAGTCAATTACACAACTTTAAATGAATGCACTTCACTTGCATCATTTTATTTTGGTACCAATTGTTTTGTCCAGAATATTGACACATCTTTAACAGCAGGAGTAGTGGCAAGTAAAGTAGGATGGGACAGTGGTGGGGTCGGTGGGATTTGGGGTCAGTGGTTCATATGGGAGAGGAGAAGAGATTGGATTTATACCCCGCCCTTCACTACCCAGAGGAGTCTCAGAGCGGCTCACAATCTCCTTTCCCTTCCCCTCCCCACAACAGACGCCCTGTGAAGCAGGTGGGGCTGAGAGAGCTCTTCTGAGAACTGCCCTTGAGAGAACAGCTCTGAAAGAACTTGTGACTGACCCAAGGTCACGCCAGCAGCTGCATGTGGAGGAGTGGGGAATCAAACCCGGTTCTCCCAGATTAGAGTCCACGCTCCTAACCACTGGACTAAACTGGAGTGTGCTTAGAGGGTGTTTAGTCCAGCCAGGTTACCTCTAGTTTCTTAGCTGTTACCTCAAACCAGTTAACTTTTTTCCAAAAACTTTCTCTGCTGTCATAACGACATGAAAGTACATGGTTTAAAAAAACAGTTTTGGACACTGATAATATTAAACGGGATAAGCGGGTGGTGTCGTAGAATCTGAATGACATGCAGCCAAATCCAGGCTTGCCTGAAAACATTTCCTCTGCCTTTGTGATCAAAGGCATGGTTTGGCCGGAAAAGGAGAACGGGTTTACGCTGCACGTTAACCTTGGGGTTCATCACACCTTCCTACTCGTATGGATGCCTGGGGCTGTGGAGCAAACTCCCAAACAAGACTGTTTGTAGTTGGGATTACATTGTTGAACTACCGTGTTTCCCCGAAAGTAAGACATCCCCCGAAAATGACCTACTTACAGTTTTGCCTCTCGCTGAAATATAAGGCATCCCCCGAAAAGAAGACCTCCCCGATAATAAGGGTCCCCGGAGCAGACAGGAAGTGCGAGGTCTCTTTTAATCAGAGAGCCCGCGCTGCCGCCAGGACAAGCTGCCGCCTGCTGCTCGCTCTGCCCTGACGGAGTGTACCGTATTCTTCTTAATAAGACATCCCCTGAAAATAAGACCTGGTGCATCTTTGGGAGCAAAAATTAATATAAGACACTGTCTTATTTTCGGGGAAACAGGGTAGATCTGCACTGCAGTTGGGCAGATGACCCATCAGAACTGTTAGGGAGGGCTTTACTTGGCGGGGACTTCTATGCTGCTGATGCTCAGCACAACAACAACAACAAAAAACCCTGAGTGGCTCACAGATACAGGCGCAGCCTTCAAAATAGAAGCCTCCCAAGACGATGGACAGATGGAAAGGGCTATAAAGTTGCAGCCAACTTATGGCAACCCCAGAGGATTTTCAAGGCAAGAGATAAGGCAGAGGTGGGTTTGCCATGGCCTGCCTCTGTGTAGCAAGCCTGGACTTCCTTGGTCGTCTCCCATCCAAGTACGAGCCAGGGGCAGTCCGGCTTAGCTTCCAGGATTGGGCTAGCTTGGGTCATCTAGATCAAGACAGACCTCCTAAGAAGTGCAGGGAAACCTCTAGCATCTTGTAAGTTGGAACCCAGTGTTCCCCCTAAGCTGAGTCAGTGTGAGCTAGCTCACAGTTTTTTACCCTCCGGCTCACACATTTTCATCTTAGCTCAGGAAGGGATGGCTCCAGAGCAAACTGATTTATGCAGTAGCCAAATCGCTCACTCACAACCTTCATGCCAGGAGCTCACAAGGTGGAATTTTTGCTCACAAGACTCCACAGCTTAGACAAAGCATTTTTTGGAACCAGGCCAGAATGGAAGGCAAGAGTGTCAGAATGTACTAAGATCAAGATGAGTAGCTGTATTAGTCTGTCTGTAGCAGTAGAAAAAGGAGCTGCGGTGGCTCAAGTGGTTAAGACGCTGAACTGCAGGCTATGGAAGGTCGGTAGTTCAGCAGTGCGAGACCCGGGTGCCGCATGACGGAGTGAGCTCCCGTCTTTAGTTCCAGCTCCTGCCAGCCTAGCAGTTCGAAAGCAAGAAATTGCAAGTAGATAAATAGGTACCACTTCGGTGGGAAGCTTGGTGTTTAATCATGCCGGCCACATGACCACGGAAACGTCTTCGGACAGCGCTGGCACTTCGGCTTTGAAACGGAGATGAGCACCGCAACCCTAGAGTCGTATTCGACTGGCTTTCGAGCAAGGGAACCTTTACTTTTACTAGAAGTAGAAAAGAGTACGAGTCCAGTAGCACCTGTGGCAGGGGGTGAGCTTTTGTGAGTCACTGCTCACTTCTTCAGGTATGTACTTCAGATATGTACTAAGAACAAAGCTTGAGTGCAGTGGCACCTCAAAGACCAACAAAGTTTTATGCTGGGTATAAGCTTTCATGTGCAGGCACACTTCTTCAGATACATTGAAATGGAAATCACCAATAACCATTACATATAGGTGGAGGGTGGGGCGAGTGTCACCAGGAAGGGCTAATTAGAGTCAAGACGCATCAGTCACCAGTTGTGCTTTTCACACAGGGCAGAAATGGTGGTGCCTGAGTTCCTCGAACTGTTCAAGGAGAGAGCAACAGCACCTTTCTTCGTTTTCCAGGTAAATGAAAGTTAGACGAGACCTTTCCCTTGGTGAGTTCTTCTGCTTCTGAAACACACAGTCTGTTATCCACACAATCCATCACCATACACAGCTGTCCACCTCACACGGACTTGTGCCTTGTGCAGGCAGAGAAGTTGGGGATATAGCAAGTCCCTGAACTGCCAGTTGCTTCTAGGTCAAGGCAGGGGAGCAAGGCCCTCTGGGAGATGCGGTTCTGAGTTGTCTTGTTGCTTGTGTTCTCTTATCTAGCAGAAATTCACCGTAAGGGATCTTTAAATAAATGGATGATTCCTGTTGACAAAGTCCACTTTTATACTGGCATATAAGTAAAGATACAGTAATCTAAATACAAAATCACGCAGAGTAAAATTAAAATTGCAAAGTAACATCAGAGAGTTGACATCGTAATAAAACCTAATTCATAATATCACTTATCAGGCCGTAGGGCCATGGCACTGCAGAGAAACTTTGCTACTCTTTCAGTTATTTCTGTATCTGGATTATCGAGCGAGAAAGGGAGCTTAAAATCATCTGGGGTCTCTAAAAATTGGCCTAATATGGGATATAGAAGATCCCGACGGGATGCCAAATAGAGAGGGCACTGGAGGAGGACATGGGCAACAGTTTCAACACAGTCCTTCATACAAGGACAGCACCTGCTAGGATAGGGGATCCCTTGGAATTGACCAGATAAGATAGCTGAAGGAAGGACATTAAATCTAGCCTGTTGACAAAGTGAAGCGCGCTTGCAGCGAAAATATTTTACACAGCCCTGATCCTCAGATCAAATGACACCTTGCAGGAATTAAGCAGGTAATCTCTTAGCCATCTATTCAGGCTCCTTCTTACCAAGCAGACTGGTTATGAGCCAGTGTGCTGTAGTGGTCAGAGTGTCTAACGAGGATCTGGGAGTCCCCGCTCTGCCATGGAAGCTCCCTGGGTGCCCTTGGGACAGTCCCTCTCCTATCAGTCGGATCTACTTCGCAGGGTTGTTGTGATGATAAAATGGAGGCGGGGTGCCAGTCAGAACCCCTTGGAGGAAGTGGTGGGATAGACATACACTAAATAAAGAGAAGGCATAGAATCATAGAATCCCAGAGTTGGAAGGGGCCCTACAGGCCGTCGGGTCCAACCCCCTGCTCAATGGCAGGATCAGCCTAGAGCATCCCTGACAAGTGTTTGTCCAGCCGCTGCTTAAAGACTGCCAGGAAGGAGGAGCTCACCACTTCCTGAGGGGGTTTTCCTAACCCTTCCCACCCTTAATTTAAACCCATTCTTGCGAGTCCTCTCCTCTGCTGCCCACAGGAACAGCTCCCTGCCCTCCTCTAAGAAGTGACAGCCCTTCAGATACTTCAAGAGAGGCATCATGTCCCCCCTCAGCTTCCTCCAGGCTAAACGTTCCCAAGTCCCTCAGCCTTTCCTCGTAGAGCTTGGTCTCCAGGCTCCCGATCATGTTCTGTACGGGAGAAGTGATCGGATCTTGTTGAGGCCACCTCATGGTGAAGTGGGGTCTTCCCAGGTTATGCTTTTAACCTTAGCACATGACGCCAGCCCTATGCTATAGGTGCCAAAATGGCTATCCCCTGAGATTGCCGACAAAATGGATTTATGTAGTTCATTTTTCACACCACCCTTCCTCCAAGGCACCCAGGGTGGTATAGTTCTCCTCCCTTTTATTCTCATGACGACTCTGGCATGGGGGTTTCGCTGAGAGTGGGCCTAAGGTCACTGGGCTTCTGGGCTGACCAGGGATCTGAACCCAGGTCCCTCCGCTCCTCGCATCAGCACTGGAGTAGTTTGTCTTTGTTTCCCGCAGGTATTCTGCGTCGGGTTATGGTGCCTGGACGAGTACTGGTATTACAGCGTCTTCACCCTCTCCATGCTGGTGGCCTTCGAAGCATCTCTCGTCCAGCAGCAAATGAGAAACATGTCGGAGATCCGGAAGATGGGCAACAAACCCTACATGATCCAAGTAAGTGCGCCGTAGAAAGCAGCGAGACTGTAATGACGCTTCCTGCGGCTGCCGGCTGCCCATTCTGATGACACGTCTGAGTTCCAGAACCTTGGGAGGCCCTGTTGCTGGGGGTGATGCTGTCAACAGAGAGCTGCTGACCCCCAAGTGGGAAGGAGGAAGTAAAGACGGGTTGGAGGGTGAGAATACCTGGGAAGAAGAGGTGGGGGGGGTGAACCCAAGGGAGCAGGCAGGACTTCGAGGTCAGTCTTGAGCTGAAAGGAGAGGAATCCCTCAGTGACTTGGCTGTTTCGTCTCCCAGGGGGTTTGCTGTTAACTACAGCTCCAGGGCCTTGGGGGTCCTTCCCTGGCTGCCGGCACCCCATGCCCCCACTGGCTTCCCCTGATCTCCCATCCCCCCCCCCACCCGCTTCCCCTGATCTTTGACAGCCGGTCGTCCCTGCGAGCCGTCCCTGTAGCCGCCACTTCCCAAGAGTGTCCTGGTGCTGTGCTCTTGCATCAAACAAGGAAATAGTGATCTGTGTGAAAAGGACGCTAACACTGGTTCAATAAAGACCAAAGCATTGATGCAAATACAATCATAGAAGCACAATCAAGTCCAGTGATTATGGAAGGAAATGTGATGTAAAGCCTTGAGCTTTTTCTAAGATGTGCTGTCAATAACTGCCCATTCATGAGATGTGTTGCTGTAACTCACAAGAGTGCATATAACCTATTTGAAGATATATTGTTTCAGTAACTGAGGAAGTTCTTTGAAACGGAGTTCTTAATATCTGGATTCTTCGTTTATCATTCTTCATACGTCTTCATCTCAAGAGGAAACTTTTCTACTTCTGTGATTGTATTTGTATCAATGCTTTGGTCTTTACGGAACCAGTGTTAGCGTCTTTTTCGCACAGATCACTATTCCCTTGTATACCTACACTGTGTGTTCCTCTTTGGTTGCTGTTAGCGTTCTCACAGCACGGCACCGTACCCAGGGAAGCTGAGGGCAGCCCCGCTTGCTTGCACATAGCGGTGCATCAGTTGGCAACTTTGTTCAGCTGGTAGCCTGCATTGCCCGGCCAGGTGAGGAGAGATTTGCATGACCTTCCACAGATGATTAGAGGTCTGGGAGAGCAAGGGAGCATGGGAAAATCTTCGTCGCCATTGGGACGGGTAGTGCAGACGACCAGTTGGCCTTGTATGTGTGCAGTTCTGTATAGAAGCAACTGCTTGGTATGCGGTCCTCTGTGTTCAGCACAGGGAACTCCTCCTTGCTAACTAAGGGGAAGTGTCTGTGGCTCAGTGGTAGAGCCTCTGCTTTGCATGCAGAAGGTCCCAGGTTCAGTCCCCAGCATCTCCAGTTAAAAGGGTCTGGTAGGAGGTGATGTGAAAGACCTCTGCCTGAGACCCTGGAGAGCCGCTGCCAGTCTTGAGTAGGCAGTACTGACCTTGATGGACCAATGGCACTGATTCAGTACAAGGCAGCTTCAGATGTTCATTTGTGTTCACCTTAGAGCTGAGAGGTGGGCCACAGCCCTTTAACCTTTTAAAGGGACACTGCTTTCTATGAAGGTGGACCTTGCCACCCCGCACTCCAGAGGCCAGGTCTGGTCCCAAAGAAAATAATGCCCCTTTAAAATTTAAAGGCCCAACGTTCCATTGGAGATCCATTGCCATTGCCGTCTCCCTGATACGACTGCCAATTCCAATGTTAACGGGAGTGGTAATGTCGGAACGGAGGTTGCCTGAGTTGCTAGAGTGTAACCATTGACTTGCCGGGACCTGGATAGCCCTGACTAACCCAACCTTGTCAGGTCTCAGAAGCTGAGCAGAGTCAGCCCTGCTTAGTACGTGGGTGGGAGACCACCAAGGAAGTCCAGGGTTGCTAGGCAGAAGCTTCAGGTTGTGTGTGGGGGGGGGGAGCTTGTGGGCTCCCTCCACCTCCTCCTGCCATCCTGCTCTACCTGGAGTGGGCTGTCAAATGTCTCCACCCCTGCACCTTTTGAAGAAGCTATGGCAAGCCAGGCCTGACTTGGATAGCCCAGGTCAGCCCAATCTTGTCACATCTCAGAAGCTAAGCAGGGTCAGCCCTGGTCAGTATTTGGATGGGAGACCACAAAGGTAGGCCAATGTTGCTACACAGAGGCAGGCCATGGCAAGCCACCTCTGTTCATCTCTCTGTGGGGTCACCATAAATTGGCTTTAATGGCATAAAAACAGCTCTGACTTGGCATTTGTTACATACCTTTGGTGGCAGGGTATAAACCTTTGTGAGGCACTGCTCTCTTCTGAAGGAGTGAGCAGTGACTCCCAAAAGTTTATCCCCCGCCACGGATTTTGTTAGTCTTTAAGGTGCTCCTGGGCTCTTGCTCTCCTCTACTGCTACGGACAGACTAATGCAGCTACCCGTCTTGATCTACCTCCAGTGGGTGATGGTTCCTGTTTAGGAGCCCTTTGGGGAGAGTTGGCGTGGGGGGTAATGAAGGGACAGAATGGGCTTATTTTCCAGTACCATTCTGTGTAGGATCTTAAGCACCTCTCCTCTCCTCTGTTCCCCCCACCACCACCATGTTGCAGGTTTACAGGAACAGGAAGTGGCGGCCAATTTCCAGCGATGAGATCATTCCTGGGGACATCGTGTCAGTCGGTACCAGATTTTGCTGTCTTGCTGCTGTGACTAAGAACGTTGTTGAGCTGCTTTTACTGGCAGTGGATCGAAACTGAAGTGCTCCTCATTTCCTGTCTCCAGACATCCCTAAATACCAGTCAGGCAGCTGAGAGTTAGGGAAGTGCTGACCTGATGCCTGCGTGGCCAGATCTATCAACTGTCCCAAATGCCTGGTTTGGGTAACAGGAGTCTGAAATTGAAAAAAATCCCACCTCCTCCTAACTAGAGATCGTTTAAGGACAGAAGCCAAAGAGTCTGCAGGCGAGACAGGACCACGTGTCTGTCTTGATGGCTTCCCTTATTTTGCCAAAGGGAATACAGAACGCACTGTGTATTCTGTTTAAGGTGATGTCCCTGCAAAACAAAGGTTGCCATATTGACCCCCACCCATGCTGGTCAACAAGGAGGCGGTGGGGCATTTAGCCCAGGGCTGGCGTCAGCATACCTTGACATGGGGCGGCTGTCAGGGCCAAGGGCTTCTGGGGGGGGGGGCTCACTGGCGTGGACCACGGGTCTCCCCTGCTGCCCTCCCACCCTTCCCCTGCCTGCTTGCTTGCAAGTGCTCTGCCATCCACACGCCCGGCTGTATGCACTGAGCAGCATCAGCAAGGGACAGACATGTGGGTGGAGCAGGCATGTCCGTGAGTGCAGGTGGTGAGAGGGCTCGTGAGGGTGGGGAAGGACGCACAGGCATGTGGGTCAGTGGCAAGGCCGGCCCCAGCTTATTTTGCACCCTAAGCGAGGATCCCTTCTGGCGCCCCCCCCCCCCCCCCCCGCCCCTCCTAAAAGTAAATGCATTTTAGGAAGAATGAAAAATACAAATAATCAAGAAACTCTCAGAGTACGGGGCTGGGTGCAGTTTGGTGCCCCGAAGGGCCGGCCCGCTCTAGGCGATCACCTAGTTCGCCTAGTGAGTGAGCCGGCCCTGGTCAGTGGGTGGGAAGAGAGGCATCGGAGGGCGGCTTGGTGGTAGGCAGAGGAGCAGATGGGAGCCCTGGACACTCTCAGCCCAGGCCCCTAGCAGTGTTCCCTCTAAGCCGAGTTAGTGTGAACTAGCTCACAGTTTTTTAGCCTCCAGCTCACACGTTTTTCTCTTAGCTCAGGAAGGAGGGCTCCAGATTAAACTAATTTATGCAGTAGCAAAACTACATGCTCACAACTTTAATGCCAGTAGCTCAGAAAGTAGAATTTTTGCTCACAAGACTCCACAGTTTAGAGGGAACATTGGCCCCTAGATATCTGGAACAGGCCCCAACTTAGCCCATAACTCTGGTAAGCATCGTATTGCCAAGAAAGGTGTGGTTTGGGAAGCAGTCTGCCTCCGGCAGAAGGTCCCAGATTTGATCCCCAGCACCTCTGGGGCCAGTATCAAGTAGCAGGTGATGTGAAAGACCTCTGCCTGACCAGCATTCCCTCTAAGCTGTGCACGTGAGCGGCTGCTCATTAACACCGGAAGTAGTCTGGAGCTTGCACTGCCCATTGCCCATCAGGGCTCTTTTTGTAGCAGGTACTCATTTGCATATTAAGTGACACGCCTCTAATGTAGCCAACCCTCCAAGAGCTTACAGTAGCTCCTGTAAGAAGAGCTCTGTAAGCTCTTAGAGGATTGGCTACATTAGGGGGCGTGGCCTAATATGCAAAGGAGTTCCTGCTACAAAAAGAGCCCTGCGGGGGGCGGAGGGAGGCGGCGGGCGGCGGGGTGCAATTACAAAACAAGGAATAAAGAGGGAATCCCGGAAATGAGCTACCAAAAAAAATCATGCCGTGAAAACTTTCTAATTATAAATTCATATCTTATTGTAATTAATAAATGCAGGTTATACAACAATTTTGTTTATATTGATTACTAATACTTATACAGTACTGACACTGAAGGTTCCAATACAAATCTGTAAGACATTCAAACCCGTATCTGGCAACCAGTCATCGTAAAGTGTAGAAAGTGCTACTCCAACATTCAGTTCTAGTGTCCTGTTTTCAGAGGAAATGTAGAAATTCCATGCGAGTCCAGCTGACGGGGGGCTGGCTTGTGAAAAACCCCGTTTCAGGTGTCCTCTTTCATCAAAGCCGGCATCGCTTAAGAATCCATTCATTCAAAATTTGCTCCATTGCTTTCAAAAGGGACTGGAAACAGTGCGCTTGAACTGAATGTTGGAATAGCACATTTTGCACTTTACGATGACTGGTTGCCGGATATTGGTTTGAATGTCTTTACAAATTTGTATTGGAACCTTCAGTCTTAGTGTTATACAAATATTAGTATTAGTAATCAATAAAGGTAAAGGTTCCCTTGCTCGAAAGCCAGTCGAGTCCGACTCTAGGGTTGCGGTGCTCATCTCCGTTTCGAAGCCGAAGAGCCAGCGCTGTCGGAAGACGTTTCCGTGGTCATGTGGCCGGCATGACTAAACACCAAGGCGCACGGAACGCTGTTACCTTCCCTCCGAAGTGGTACCTATTTATCTACTTGCAATGTCTTGCTTTCGAACTGCTAGGTTGGCAGGAGCTGGAACTAGAGATGGGAGCTCACTCCGTCATGCGGCACACTCGGGTCTCGAACTGCTGAACTACCAACCTTCCACAGCCTGCAGTTCAGCGTCTTAACCACTTGAGCCACCGCAGCTCCTAGTAATCAATACCAGTACATAATATAAGATTACAGCAGGTGTATTCAGCTCAGAATGTGAACTGCTCTGCTCAGTCGGGGGGGGGGGGGAGTGGGGGGGATATTGCCTGAGACCCTGGAGATCTGCCGCTGGTCTGAGTAGACAATACCGACCTTAATGGGCCGATGGTCTGATCCAGTTTAAGGCAGCTTCATGTGTTCATGTGTCCTGACCCGGTCCGATCAAACTGGTAGCAACTGGGGTGTGCTGGGGACAAGGCAGTACTTTGGTCCCCCTTGCAAACATCCTCCCCTCTTGCCTTCGGAGAGCTGGTTCTGAACACGCAACTCTCGATTCTAGGTCGGTCTCCCCACGAGAACCTCGTGCCCTGTGACGTGCTGCTGCTCCGGGGGAGGTGCATTGTAGACGAGGCGATGCTGACCGGAGAGTCGGTGCCCCAGATGAAGGTTTGCCCGGCAATTGCTGCCCTTTCTTGAATGTCAGTAGGGTACTTGGAACTCTGCCAGCTGCAGAGATAAGACTGGCCCTGCTTAGAGTGTTTCTAGTCCTAGGGGGGAAATAGGGGGTAAAGGGTGAGAGGAGGAAAAGGTTTAATGGACTCAGGCGGGGAGCAGTTGCAGGTTGAGAGAACTCAAGATGTGGGAGCAGGTAGGGGGAGGGAAAACAGGAAGCCGACTCCAGGCTGGCAGATGCAAGGAATGGCAATAGAGGGAGGCTAGCCAAAAGGTCACATTGGGCATAGGAGGGCTGCCCTTGAATATTGAAGGCTAGATTTCTCAAAACTGATTGGGGGAAACAGCATAGATGCATTATTTGACGCACTGGGAAACATTGTTGTAGCAATGAGACAGGTCCAGTTTGTGGAAGATAGGTTGATCCGTGGCTTTGCCTGTGTTTCCTAAAAGGAGCCTCCATGTTCAGCTGCGATATCCCTCTGAAAAAGGGAGCAGATGAGCCCCATGCCATGCCCACATGAGGCGAATGTGCATAGGTGGGGTGTGTGTGGACAGTTTGGTGTAGTGGTTAAGTGCGCGGACTCTCATCTGGGAGAACCGGGTTTGATTCCCCACTCCTCCCCTTGCACCTGGCTGGATGACCTTGGGCAAGCCATAGTTCTGATAAGAGCTGTTCTTGAAAAAAAGAGCAGTTTCTGTCGAGAGCTCTCTCAGCCCCACCCACCTCACAGGGTGTCTGTTGTGGGGAGGGGAAGGGAAAGGAGTTTGTAGGCCGTTCTGAGACACCTTTAGGTAGTGAAGGGCGGGGTATAAATCCAATCTCCTTCTTCTTCTACATTGCACACATATGTTGTGTGGTCCTTTCAGACCCAGCATGAAGCTCTTCTTAGGGCAACGTTTATACTGTGCTGTTCACTTAGCTGGGTTAACTCTGGCTGAGCTTGAGATGTGTTGTTCCCAGCTGGATGATCCTAAATGGTACAAGGCAGGGCTGGATCATTCCATGGGTAATGGATCAATCTCCCTACTCCCTTCATCACACTTCCTTGTCTGCATTCTTCAGGCAACAACAACAACCTTTATTGGCATAGCAAACTAAAGGAAAACAAACAGGAGGCAAAAGGAATCCTGATACATATCTCTCCTTTTAGAAGCCAGATACAGAAGATTCGCCACTGTTTCAATAATTACAGCACTTTGGGTGGAGAGCAGATAGAGGGTCTTATCAGATTGGCCTATCAGATCTAGTAACAACCGATATAAATACGTAATACAAATGTCAGAGTAATAGGTACAATGCAGAAGAACATGCTCAATACTTTCTATATTTCATTCTTACCACAGTCGCATACCCTTTGCACACATGGAATCTTCTGAAACCTCCCGTGAAGTACTGCAGAAGGCAATACATTAAAGTGTGCTAACATATAAGCTCTTCAGGCATGTCAAGCAAGGGAGGAAACTTGAGCTGGCTTCTTTTAAGCTGCGGCTATCTTCAGTTTTGGAATGACGTATTAAGTTGATGGCACAGTCCCATTAGAGATGTGTACAGCCTCGAAGAGTGTTCCCTCTAAGCTCATTAACACAGGAAGTCCCGCTCAGCAGCAGTCTGCAGCCGACGTGCAGGGTCTCGCACTGTCCATTGCCCATGTTAAGATAACAGCAGTTCTATTCTGCTCACGATATGAAGGGGGGGGGGAGGGAAATTAGAGGGTAACATTGGTCCTAAGTTTCCATCCTACCATCTTCATCCAAGCTGTCTGAAGCCAACCCAACTACAAAAGTTTGGCAGCACTTTCCGAGATATTCAGGCTTCTGACCGTCTCCGTGCAAAACAGTATTTATTTAAAATGTTTTATTGCTGCCTTTCCACCCGATCAGGGTCCCCGAGACAGCACGCATAAAAACATTAAACAGAAACAATTAGAACAATTGAAAACATTTTAAATAATTCAACAAAAACACATAAGCAATACCAGAGGAGGTCCAATATCTATCAGTGGGGGTATGCCAAGTGAAACACAAAGTCTTCCCCCAATGGCAAAGTCGCCAATAGAGGGAGACAGAAAAATCTCCTGGGGGGGGGGGGTTCCAGAGTTTTGGTGCCACAATCGAGGCCATTTCTGGGATCACAACCCCTCAGGGGCCTCAGAGGGCAGGGGCAACCAAAGCTGGCCCTCCAAGGATGCCTGTAGTGTACAGGTAGGTTCATATGGGGACAGGTTAAGGCATGTTAAAGCCGTACAGGGCTTTAAAGGTTAAATCCGACACCTTCAATTGAGCCCAGAAGCAAATTGGAAGGCAGGGGAGATGAAATAAGCCTGGAGTGATATGTCTTCTGCATCGTCTGTTTGGGTTGGGAAAACACACACACACACACACACACACACGGCCACGCCCATAGTCCAAGGCAAACACTTTTTTCACCCTGTAGCGTGACAGCTGAAGTGGCTCTGAGTCTCGTCGTGCCACTGGTGGTACAGTTACAGAAATGGACCCAGAGCTTAAAACTGAAATAGGGGAATCCTTGTCTCTCCCCACGCCCGCCCTGGACTTGTGCACCCCTTATGCTAAGTAGCACTGCGTATACGTGACCCTCTCCTGTGTAGATGAGAATGAAGCGCTTTCATGAATGGCTGTCTGCTCTTCCGCAGGAGCCGATCGAGGAGCTAGACCCGGAGCACGTCTTGGACATGCAGGCAGATTCCCGTCTGCATGTCATTTTTGGCGGAACGAAAGTCGTGCAGCACATCCCACCCCAGAAGGCCAGCACGGGCCTGAAGCGTACGTATCCCTGGATCGGTAGCAGGGAGGGGGATAATCTTCAAGCATCGAAAGCTCTCTCTTGAGGTCTGACGTGAGGATCTTGGGATGGGGAATAAACCATTCCCTGAAGAACGGCGTCGTAGGTGCTTGATTGCTAATGCAAGCATGGCACGTATCAGTGAAGAGTAGGGAAGAGCTAGCATTATCCAGATTTGGGTGTTTGATATGTGCCAAACAATGTTCCCTCTAAGCTGTGGAGTCTTGTGAGCAAAAATTCTACTTTGTGAGCTACTGGCATTAAAGTTGTGAGCGAGCAATTTGGCTGCTGCATCAATGAGTTTGCTCTGGAGCCCTCCTTCCTGAACCAAGACAAAAATGTGTGAGCCAGAGGCTAAAAAACAGTGAGCTAGCTCACACGAACTCAGCTTAGAGGGAACCCTGTAAATCCTTTAAATCCTTTTTCTGAGAAAGGCTCCCAGCTGTGGAAAAGGCCATCGGAACCGAGTTCTGATTGCTGAACTTGAGATCATTCGCAAGTTCAGAACAACTGACCATCTCCCCCCCCCCCCCCCCCCCCCCGGCTGAATAGGGACATCGGATGCTTATCTCACTACAGATGCTAATTTTCTGCCCCCGAGCATTTCCCCTCTGCTCGAATCCAATATGCATTGTGGATGGGCATCCCAAATTCCTCCTTTACAGCACCCCTCCCACCTTTTGACTGAGATATACAAAGACTCAGATCTCTCAATTCCCAGTCATATCTGAGGAAGGGAGCTTTGATTCTTGAAAGCTTATTCCCAGAAAATCTTGTCGGGTCTGTAAGGTGCTACTGGACTCGAATCTGCTTTTACTGTCTCGGAGAGACTTGACGGTGCAGGGATCCGTTTTGGCAGTGATTTCCAGCATCTGTACCTGTTTGGAAACTGCTGCAAAAGTGGAGATTCAGCACCCTGACTGTTTACCCAAACAGACGATAGGATCAGTCTCCCATGGGAAAAAAAATATGAAGGCATAGACCAGATGTACCATGACAAAGTAAGGCAAGTGGAAAACTGGGCACAATCTCGGGAGAGACAGGGACAATGTAATGTCTCGTGAAAGTTCTGCAGTCTACCAGCCCTCTTTGTGTCCTGCGCCATGCAGACTGTGGCTGGCCTCTGCATCTTTCATTCCCTTACCTCTCCCCTTTACCATTCTACGTTTGATGCCCATTTGGCTCTGCTTAGATGTCACGCAAAACCACAGTTTAATTCAACACGGTCTGCTTAGTATGATCTTTTGTAGGTAGTTAAGGGCTGTCCAACCAGAATCTGGGACTTTTGCCTGAGGTTCTATTAACCACAGCTCATCTTAACCATGGTTTCACATGCCACACAAACAGGGACAATCCTGACTTGCTCCCCAGCCATTGGCTTTGCGCCGTCCCCATAGATGCTGGAGCAGCTCAGGACAGAACCCTCGCTCACCTTTCCAGGCCTCTCTGTAACAAAGCAAAGTCCCTGAAGCCGACATCTGTCAAGGCAAGCCAGGATTTGAATGGTAATCTGCTTCCAAGTCCATGGTTTCACCTTCTTTAAAATCAGTCATGAGAGCCCCAAAAGGCTTCCTGGTGGCTGGTGGAGAATTCCTTAAAAGTTATTTAATACCCCACTTTTGTGATTGCTGAAGATTCTCTTCTTCCCCTCCCACCCACGCACAGTATCTGACATGATCTCTACATCCTGGTTCATAGTGCGTAGCTTAACATCTGTCCCTCCCTCCCCTTTCCAGCTGTAGATAATGGCTGTGTGGCGTACGTTCTGAGGACAGGCTTCAATACATCCCAGGTAAGAAGTGATAGAAGGCCATTGCTCTTGCACAAGACGGTGGCATCGTATGTTCAGATGTGTTGGGGGGGGGGTGTTGACCTGATTAGAGACCAGGGAGGGGCGGCGGCTCAGTGGAGGAGCTTCTGCTTTGCATGCAGACGGTCCCAAGTTCAATCCCCGGAGGCTCCAACTAAAAAGAACCAGGTGGAAGGGGAGGTGAAAGACCTCCGTCTGAGACCCTGGAGAGCTGCTGCCAGTCTGAGTAGACAATACTGTAAGGCTGAACCTCTGTCCCAGATTGTGTTTGCCCAGGCCAATTTGAGAAAACACACAAAAGCAGTCCTGTAGAGTTGGAAACCAAAAAATAATTTATTAATTAATAAGGAAGAATACAGATTCAAAGGTTTTGGAACCTTGAATACCCAACAGATTCTTCAAGTGTTACAATGGGTGAAATAAAACAGTTATTGGTTCCATCAAACATTGTCAAATTTCATCACCTATTTCCCATTGGGTTAAGACCGGGGGGGGGGGGGTTGTTCCCAGGCAGAGTTCTTCTTTTCCTAACAGAACAATACACTCTTCTTTCGGAAGCTATGAAGCTGCATGTTGTATCTATATAACTGATATGCGCAGTTGTAGCTGACCAGAACAAGCAAGGTCATGGGTAGCATAACTGTGTATCAGCATTTCAGCCTTCTTCCCAGCATGCATTCAAACAACAGTCACAAATGAACCAAAGTTAATACCTGAATACATTCATGATGTCAGAATCATATGCATTATGGAAGTGCTAAGCACACCTACCAAGTCAAACCTGTTAGGCAGTGGCAGAGTACAAAGTGTTCATAAAATGTGCGTACAACAATACTGACCTTGATGGACACAGGGTCTGATTCACTGTAAAGCAGCGTTGTGTGTGAGCCAAGGATTTGTTGGGGGAGTCCCAAGATCAGCGTGGGATCTGCAGCCCCATCATCAGGGAGCCCTTGATTCTTTGGGGGCTGTGGCTCTCCTTTACACTTGGAGCTTCTGACAAGCCCTGTAAAGCAAGAGATTGAAATGGCTCATGTGTAAGATAGCAAACTTTGTGATCAAGCCCTTGGGAGGGGAACTTTCCTCACTGCGGAGGCCAGCCGTTCCTCCCAGCTGGAAAAGTGAGAAGGAGCTTGACATTCCAGTCTGAAATTTTTCAGGACCCAGTTTGCTGCAGGGAGCTGGTAATAGAAACTTTAGTAGATCTGTCATACCATTGAGCTGAAAAACAGCGGGAGGTAAAATCCGGTCAAGCTGGAGCAGTAAGTGCGCTTAAAATCCTTTTTCTTTTGCGTCCCCGTCCCGTTCCCTAAATTCGGGGGCACTTCCTCACAAGCCCCATTCTTGTGACAAAACTCTCTGAGGTAGGTGTGATGGACAGGTCCAAGTCCTGCCTGTTTCCTAACTGCCAATCCCCTTTAAATCTGATTGGCTGTCACCGACTCACTGAACCTTCCAGTCAGGGCCCTTAGAATCTGGATGGAGTTGAGGAGAGCAAAAAGTGGCCAAACTGCCAGTTTTCCTTCAGACTAGGTTCGGCTGCCAGTGAGGCAGGTTAGGCTTCAAAGGAAGCAGGGCGGTAGGGTATGGTGTCCAGGAAATGCTCACACTTAATGTATCACTGATTAGTCTTCCAAGGTTGAGGTGAGCTTATGGAACAGACTGTGGTCATCTTTTAAAGTATTCTGGTAGCTCAGCTCTGGGATTCTGTAAACTAGGGATCTTCTTCGTGGTCTCTGTGCTTCACACCAATGGGTTTAGTGCGCCTGCGCTGACCCAACCGGTGCCGTAGCAAGCTATGTTTCAAAGGATTTTCGCGCGAGTCCCACTGAGCATGCGCAGGAACCCCAGCACGCATGCCCAGAGGGGACGGGCGCGGAGATCCCGCCAGTTCTCTCTCTACCGCCGCGTTGAAAGGACCTTTTTGCCTTTCCTCCTGACCGGATAGCTATTACTGCCTTCGGGCCTTTACCTTATTTCTTGTTTCTTAGGATCATCCTTTATTTTATTTCTTTACTTCAGTTTACAAAAAAAAAAAAAAAGAAGAAGAAAGAAGAAAAGCGAGAACTTTTGTTTTTCTGAGGGGAATCTCCTCAGGCCTTCGGGCCTCCCCCCCCCTTCCCTCTTCACTTTTCCCCGGCATTTTTCTCTTCCCG